GGGAGCGGCGCCGCCGCCCGTGTAACGCCCTGGGCTCAGGGCCCCCCCTTGTTTGTCGCCGGCTCCTCTGTATCACATCGTGTCGAGTCGCTGTGGGGCTGGTTTCTGATTTGTCGTGACTTCGCGATTTTCTTCTGTTTAAGCCGCCTTTCTTCAGTTGGAGGGGAAAGAAAAATAAAAGCATGACCTGACGTTAATTGGAAGAGAGGTTTTTAAAAAAAAAAAAGTGGTAGGGCAGGGAGGTTAAGGACTCCGCCTTCTAAAATAAATGGCTTTATCGGAGTGACTTCTTGGTGGGAGCTGTTTCATATTCGTGTGTAGAAGCAGTAATCTGGGCCTTTAATGAAGCCTCTATGTGCTTTCCAGTCGTGTTTTTCTTGTAACCAGAGCTGCATGTGCTGGATAGAAAGGAACAGCTGACCTTCTGTATGTTGGATTTTGGATGAATTTTTCTATCCGTTTCTGTGGAATGTGTACACACCAAAAATTTATTATTGGTATGTGGTGTGTGGGTTCTGGAAGCAAAGAAAAACACTCTTCCTAAAGCAAGAGCCTCCTTATAACTTATCTCTAGATTTCCTTTTCTTCGCTGGAAAATACTATTTTTAAGTGTATCTGTTACAATTTTTATTCACAACGTACTGTTATGTACAGTTTACCATGTTAGCCATATACTCATTGAATATTTGTAACACAGGTCCTGTTTCTTGGGCTACGCAACTAAGCAGCATCTTTATCAGGTCACTGCTTCTAGCTGACCTGTCTTACAAAGGGATCGTGGTGTGATGTGTGGTATCAAGTGGTAGATAGCCACTCGCATTCTGAGACAAGCTCTGCTGGTTCTTGAGTTCAAACTCTCACTGCTAAAATACACTCTTTACTTCTACTGTGAAGTTATAAAACTTCAGCCTCCAACAGTTGTATTTGCCTTTTCTGACAGTAAAAGTATTTGTAATTGTCTTTCCACGTAGACGTTGATGGGCAGTGACTGAAGCATGTCCTACCCTTTTGTTACTGCAATAAACAAAGTGAGAGGATGACCCCTGTTTTATCTCGGTAATACTTCTGAGAAGTTCTATGCAACTTAATTCACATACTTAGAGTATTTTTTTATTTTAGTGTTTCCTGTACTCTTTCCAGTGGTGGTTTAATCTTGAATCTGATTAATTGAAATATCCTGAATTACTTTAGAGTCTTTATTCAGTCAATGAAACAGAATACATGATGAGACAACCCTTTCACCTCAATCAATGTTGCATTTAAACAAAATGTACTTGTCTAGAAACTTGTTTTGACATTCCCTTGGTGCAACAGAGAGAGCTCATCAGGCCAGCCTTTGAACTTACAGCAAAATCAATATCTTCATGTTTTCTCTCTCATTTGGCTTTTGTTTTGGAGAGGGTTTAAAAAAAGCAAGACAACAACCAACCAAACAAAACATGCAATTCTGCTTTGTAAAACAGCAAAACATTCATTGAAATTTATTTTCATAATTACTGGTAAGCAGTGTACTGATAGAACTGCAAATCTAGTTTTAGCGTATTTTTGACAACATAGATTTACTCCTGTGTGTACTCACTCTGAACTGTCTTCCCAGCCCGGATACCTCAACAGCATGTGAGGTCAATGAGTATCTCCAGAGTGGGCAGGGAAAAAAGATTGTACTGAGGCTGTGGTGCCATTAGACCAAGCAGATATGGGTCAGAATAATAAGATTACACAGTCTGCTGTTTGAGACCAGTGGAAGAACAACTAACACTTTCTACAGTGTTAAAATAGATGGTCCCCACTTTGACTTTCTGGTGACTTCAGGTATTTATTTCTGCCCTGTAATGACTGGAGGTAGAGCCATTGTGCCTTTCTAGGATGCTTGCTCTAGTATTCAAGTACCTTAAGCTGTCTATAATTTCTGTTTTGATAGTAACTTACTCTAGGTCTTAAAGCATTTTTCTTTTTCTGTGTATTAGTTCTAAAGTATTGGCTTTTTAGAAGTGCAAAGGAATGTATTTATGAATCTGACCACAATTTTAACTTGTTATATTCAGACAAGCTTATTTGAAGAATGACCATGTTGCAGTGTGGCAGAATAAATGAATTTTGGATTAAAATGAAGGGGGGAAAAAAAGAATTAAATTACATTGTTTTGGAGTGTGATGAAGTTATTTAGATGATTTAGTATGGAGGGATCTGGAAATACTAGAAAATCGTTGAAGGTAACTTCTTTTTCGTCTTTGATTATTAAATCTATTGTTTTTCTTAGGTGTACACAGATCCTGGACCTTTTTCTTTTTAGTTGGATAACCTATATCCTTCTGACCAAGAAACCACATTTGAGTTCTCTTGTTCTCTTTTCTTCTCTATTTTTTTTATTCCTTCTTTCCTCATTGGAAGAGCATCGTAGTGGCTCCCTGTTCACTTCAGTAAGTATTGCTTTGAAAATAATACTCAGCTTGCCTAAAATCTTGTTTGCTTTAGCTGTATTTGATCTAGTATATTTGCTGAAAGAGAAATGATACTGGTAAGGATTTTGGTGGCATGATTTCTTCCCTGAAAGAAGTGGGAGCATCATTTTCAAAACTGTGAGAAATGAAGTGGCGAAAATTGGAAAGCAATGGATAAAGTAAGGGTTAGGGCATACGTTTAAGACACCAATGAAGACAAGTTTACAAAAATAAGCGTTCTCTATATCAATGACTGGAGCTAATTTTTTTCTTTCTAGAAATTTCTTTCTAGAAATTTCTTTTCTGTACATAGCTAGCGATCTAGTTTTCTGGCTGTTTAAAACCAAATATTGTTTCAAGCTTCCATTCTGAGACATGTTTATGAAAGCCCATGTTGACTGACAAGTTTTAGCTGTCATAGCTATATTGACAGGACAGAGATCGATGCCACTCTTTGTTTTATCGTTTCAAGTAGATTACAGTTAGGGCTGGTTGAAGATGCAGTTCTGTGACCGTATGTGTCTTGTTAGTTGGCTTGTCATCAATTATGTAATAAATTTCTGGTTATATTAGGCATGTTAAATTCCTACTCCTAAATTCCACTTCCCTAAAAAAGACCGAGTTTATATAAACTGGCTTTGAATTTTGTTTAAAATTAAAAGAGTTGACGTGAATGTCAAGGTTATCTTCCTTGGAATAAAATGCTTTGGCTTCTCGTTAATGCAGATGCCAGAATAAGAACCTGCTTTGTGTTGCATTCAATGAACTTGCCACTGAAGTTAACCCCTTTAACTGCCTTGTTTTAACTTGTTCTTTTTTCTAGATGTCAGTTTGCTGCTAATGGGTGTAAGTAAATTAGATGTCTTGTACAGAAAGCTTCTCCTCACTAAACTTTTCATCAGAGGATGGGGAAAGCCGGAGGATTTGAAAAGGTGACTTGTTAAAAAATAACAGCATAAAGAGTACTTTGTCTTAAAAGGAAAAAACTAACCCTTGAACTACCAAGAATTGTTACTAACCTGTATCTTTAAAAAAAGTATTAAAGTTTGTTTTGTTCAGGAAATCATGTGTTTCCGTACCAAGGGAGGAATTGGATTTAAAAGAAGTCTTAGAGGGATTTCCTAAATGTTTACGTTTAAAGAGGTGGTACTTGAGAGAATGTATATGGGTCCAATTACATTTTTTTACCTATGCATACATGATTACAACCTTCAAGCAGCATCTCAGAAAATGTTTTCTAAAAACAAAACTTGCTGAATTTTTGCAGAGGAATTGTTCTGTTTAACATTAAAAGGGATCTTTCTAGCTTTCTGTAACTTCCTAATAATAATAATAATGAGCTTTAGAAGTGTAAGATGTAATCAGAAGTTTCTCTCGTAGCCCGAAGTAGTAAACTCATTCTCTTTAGATGTCTTAAAAATAAGAAAAAAATGGAAGTACCCCTTAATTTTTAAATACTTGCTGATTTTTATTAGTTATTATTAGGAGTAACACCTGGAAGTTGAGCACTTGCATTTCTTAAGTTTAAAAATTAAGTAACTGAATATATATATTCTGCATCATGTAGTATTTAAACCGGAGACGATAAATCTACATTTAATAAGCTAATTCTTATGTATCTGAAAATCAGTAAAGAATATTTTCTTTAAATACTGAAATAAAACTTTGTTCACTGTGGATAGCAGTAATGTGGGGCATTGTTTTTGTTTCGAAGTCCTAAGTGAAACATTGGTTAGCTTCACAACATCTCATCTTGAAATGGCACTTGGATTGCTTTCTATGTCTTTCTTCAGTTATTTGTTTTTCTCTGAAGTAGTAGACTTTCCTGCAAAATGAGAATGTTGGATTTTTAAAATGTTTAGTTTGCTTTTGATGGAATAAGAAAAAAAAAAATGTGTTTTGATTGCATCATTTCTGTATTGTGTTACGACTCTGAGACATATGAAGTTTCACTCCCACATCCCCATCTCCCCACAACACAATTGCGATCTGTGTAGGCGAACTTCTGACCAATTCTGCTGTTAGCTGTTGCAGTACTAGGCAAGGCTTTTCTCTTGCATGGTGTCTATAAGGGTAATCATACTAACATCAAACAGTGATAAAGAAGCATTGCTGATAGTAATAATGGTGTCAGCTGTGGCTCTTCCTTTTTGATAGAGGGCAAAACAGCTGTCACAGGGGATCAAAAGCTCTGGGGGAACTGTGAGGCAGGCTTGCTGTCCTGCTGTTCTGAGAAGTGGAAGAAGAATTTGTTCTGTGTACTGCCCCTGAATGAGAAGATGATGAGCTGTTCCCCCATAGCCCGGCTTCACCTGGATGAAAAAGGAAGAATACCATCTCCTCCTGACTCCTCACACTGGCTAGTGGGAGGAGGGAGTACCACTCCTTAGTATGCATGCCCTATCATGCCGGAAACAGTGACAGCATAGTGTAATTTGTTCTTTTTTTTTTTTTTTTTTTAAAAAAAAAAAAAATTCTGAAGCTCCATTAGAAGAAATTATTAAATTTCTTATACTTCAAGCATTAGCTGAGATTGACTGATACTACAGACTAGCCTGCCTAGATGTAATCTGAAGTTTTATGTGCACACAGTTGATGTGATGACTGTTGATATCTTAATGCTTCATCCTCAACTTGTTACCAAGAGTTGAAATTCCTCAACACATGCAAGATTTAGCCTTCAGTATCGTCCTAACGACAGAGGAAATGCCTAAATGCAGTATTTTTAGAGGGTGTAGTGTCAAGGAAAACATCTCTTCATTAGCTTAGCCTCCACACTCATGTCTCAACTTTACCCTTATTTTCTCAGAAGTACTTAATGTACCTGCTCTTCTGTATAAGAAAAGGAAAGACTGTTTAGTAGAGGTATTTTTGATATGATAGTAAACTAGATTTTCTTTCTGTCATTTTGGTTTGGTTTTCTCTGGGATTGGGAAGGTGAACAGATCATTGCTGTTATGCTATTGTTCTGTACTTTCCACCCAAATCTGCTGTTTCAGTTGGCCAGGTGACATCTTTGTGCATATTTACAACCACGAGAATGAGCAAGTCATTCTTAGCACAGAGTATTTAAGGCTGAGAGGGCCATCTTGAGGGCATCTAGTCCAAATCCTTATTCAAAACAAAGCTAACTTCTTAGTAGTTTTGAAAGTCCTGTGAGGATGGAGATTATTCATAGTTTCTCTGAGAAATCTTTTCTGGTGCTTAACCGCTGCCTCTGAAAAAGTCTTTCACTGTATTCCAGTAGGACTTTCTTATGTTGCAACATGCAACCGTTGCCTCTTGTCACCTCACGGTATACCTCTGAGAAGAGTCATTTTCTCTGTAAGACTCTGCAACCCATCTAAGTAGCAGAAGAAAGCAACTGGATTTGCCCCTTAGTTCCCCAGGCAACGCAAACCCCGTTCCCTTGACCTGCTGACTGCCCTCTTGCTAAATGCAGAGGGTATGCCATTGGTCTTCCTGGCTGCAAGGATGCACTGCGAACTCGTGTTCAGTTTGCTGTCCACTGGAAACCTCATGCCTTTTCCAGCAGAGCTGATACCTAGCTGGGAAGATCCCAGCCTGTATTGTTGCACGGGACTATTTTCTCTTAGGCACAAGATTTTGTGGTTACATTGTTGAGCTTTAGGATGTTTGTTGACCTGTTCCTCCAGCTTATCCAGGTTGTCTGGAATAGTAGTCCTGCCTTCCAGCTGTCAACCTCACCGTCCGGTTTGTGTTATTCATGAACTTCCCTAAGTGCTGCTAGTAACTTATTTCCAGCTAGACTTCGGATCACTGGCAACTACACTTTGATGTTGGCAGTCAAGCCTGTTTTTCACCCATTCAGTCTGTATTGCCCCAATGTAGCTACAAGGATGTGTAAGTGTAGGGGGTTGCTATGTCTTCATCTGGCCCTGAAAAATGACAGAAGTTTTCAACATATCAGGTGTAAAATACCGTTTAAGAGCTGTGCAAAGCAGTGTACCTGAGCTTTTTTTTTTAAAAAAAAAAACTTCAAAACGTTCTTATATACTTACGCTATGGTAGCCTGATTAATCTGTACATGCAAAGCTGCCTTCATCATTTTTATTTTCTTTGTGGCTTACATTAGCTCCTGAAATTTTTATATATATTAAAAGCTGAACCTTCTCTACTTGTTTCCTTTCAACAGAATATTTGAATTCAGAAAGATTATTGGGAACAGGGAAAAATGCCAGACGCTGGTTTCGAAAGATTACCCAGTGTTCATTGACAAGGTACTTAAAAGAAAGAGATGATGCAGTTTAACTAAATTTATTTTCCTGGTAGTATATAAAGGTGGAATCAACTTAGTACTTACCAGGCCGCTTTTATAGAATAGAAGAGTTGAATATTGATGTCATGTGAAATCTACGTTTTCCTGATGTTTGATTTTATCACAGCATGACTTGCTGCTGGGACTGGCAACTGGGGACTTGAGCTAGGGAGTACCTAAAGATAGGGTGGTGAATGCACCTCTGACAATATTCAGTTAGCTTTTGCTGATCACCAGTTTTCTAACAGGTGGCATTAACTGACTTCACAGGTGTTCCCAGTTGCTCTGTATCAGGAAAAGGACATTAGAATTTATCTGTGAGGGAAGAGGAAGTGAGGCTGTAGAGGCAAAAGAAATCAATGTAGTGTGAGTTCTCAAATGCTCTCATTGGAAAAAGGAGGCCCTGTGCTTCCAAGTGAGGCACAGAATAATTGCCCTGAGGATTTTTCAATCTAGAAAGTGTGAATAGTGGGTCAGAAATGAAGATAAGTTCAAAAGTCAAATAAATGCACTGGTGGTCAGTGCTGTGGCAAGCTAAATACTTAAACAGTTTGCTGTTTTGAAATTTTTTTTTATTAAACTGCTGTGAATAGAATTAGGAGGCAATGGCAAAAATGTGAAATGGGGTTTGAACGGATGGGAAAATGAGCAGTCACATTGGCTGCTAGCAGAGAACAAAAGGAAAGTGAGAGAATAAAGCAGTGACTGTACAGATACTGTTATATTTTTTTCCCCAGTAATGCAGTAGTTGGGTAGGCGAGATGTCAGATCTTAAAGCTCAAAAAATGCTCGAAACTTAGTATGTGTTATTGAAGTTATTTAAAACAGGACAGCATTACACTTTATTCCTTGATTCCTTTAATAGGTCAGAAAAAGTTTCAAACAAATGTTTTGACTGTGTTGGTAACATGTATCCTTATGTTTGAAATAGAACTCAGCTTTGGGTTTTTTTAAGTACATTTTTATCCTGTAACATACAATTATTCTTCTTTAAGAGACTGGCTTTCAGAGCAAGTTAAACATTGACATAAAATATACTGCTATCATCCCATTCTCTCTGTAGGTTGAGGAGCAATCGGACTGTAGAATCCTTGAGGGGCACTTCATTTCTCCATTGGCTCATTATGTCCCAGGTATCCTGCCAGTTGAATCTCTTGTAGCAAGGTAAGAGAAACCAAGTCGTGTTTTCTTTCTGAAACTAGTACTGCAGAGAAATAAGAATGGTCTATAAGTAGTTTTATTGTGATTTAATACAAACTATCTGTGAAATATTTCAAACTGTTTTTTGTATTTGTGTGTTGAGATAAGATTTGGGTCTCAAAAGTGAAAATAAATCTTATTCATGTGATAGCTTAATCTGTGTGTAAATAAAAAAAAAGTCCCCTAGCAAAGTATGCTCTTTGCTAGGGGATATTTTTTTTTTTTAAAGTGTTGAAATCGTATTTCACAATGCTGTGGAATACCCTGGGAGTTTTTAAATTATTTGTTTCTTTTCTTCCAAATGAGCAGGTTGTTGGAAATGAAGGAGACTATAGCCAGGATGGTAGCTGTTAGGTTTATACATAGTAGGAGAAACTGTTTATATGAAAGAAGCATGTTATACTGTATTTGCAGGAATGACTCCAGCCTTCTATTTACATTGAATACAAAAATACTGTGTGTATACTGAAGCAGCAAATTCATTTAATTGTAACAAGAGAATCTGGTGCCTTGCTTACTTGGCAAGCCAAAAAAACCCCATCCTCACAGAAAGATGGATGATCCCTAACAGTTGGAAGATACCTAATGGCATTTTTGCTGCTTTCGCACTAATGCTGCTTTGCAGTTGAGGAGTGGGTTTGGAAAGGGAACAAAATTTCTGTTTACTTTTAGTTTTGAGCTCAACTTTCATGATGCATTTTTTTTTCCAAGCTTTGTTTAGTATCTTAAAACTGAAATGTAGAAGTTTGTCGGCTCAAGTTGGTACTGGCATTGTCAATTTTATCAGTCTTACTGGTTAGTGGGTTTATGTGTACTTAAACATGTAACCCTAAGGAATGTCAGAAAAAGTTTGATAGTCAAAATACTAGTTGTCTTCCACTTCTCCACTGGTTAGAGAGAGAAACTGTCTCTCAACATTATTGGACTAATTAGTACCATACTGGAAAATATAGTATCCTGATTGTTTCCTTATCTATGTTCTCTTACAGTTTGTAGTCAAGTTATGCCAATTGTTACATTGGACAGTATTGTTACAGTTTTGAAGTGCTCTACAAATTTCCCTTAAGATCGTTGTGCATTGTGTGAATATTTTTTTCTGAAATGTGACTGTTGTGGGTAACAGTGCTCCCTCTTGTGGGGAAAATGCCAGTGGCTTGGAAGTGATTTTTTTTTTTTGTCTTCACAGTAGTTACTCTGTAAATAACTTGGGTAGCAGCAGAAGACGTTAAGTGAATGATGTTGGGTCTGTAGAATAGTTTCATGGTTTGCTTGTTGGGGTTTTGGTTTTTGTTAAAAATGTAAATGTATTGCTCATCTTAATCTTCAGTTTCAGCTGTTGTTCCCTCAGAAGAAAAATGGCAATGCTGCATAGGAGAGCTAGTCATACTTGTTTAGGTTGCTTTTTATCTGAAGTTCCACTTCTCTACTCTGCAATATTTAAATTGTGATAATGAGGTAGTGGGTTTTTTTAGGGACATAATCTTTCAGCTTGGCTACTTTTCTTGTTCGGCATTTATTCGGTCCTAGTTATGGATTCCTTTCTTTGCTGGATGTATTTATGAAAAATTATATTGCTGAATCACTGGTAGTTTGCCTGTGTGGGTTATGAAATAGATAAACTTTCTTTGCTAAAATAGGTGTTTGTTTCTTATAGATTTCAGTTCATCATACCCAGAAGATGGAATAGCAAGCACAGACCTGTTTGCATTCATTTAGCAGGCACTGGAGATCATGTAAGTATGTAGAATGTAAAATTGATTATTGTTGAGAAATTAAATAGTCAGATTTTATCTTAATATATGTTTTTGTGTCTTATCTTTAGCACTTCTGGAGGAGACGCGCATTAATGGCACGCCCAATGATTAAAGAAGCCTGCATGGCTTCCCTATTGCTAGAAAATCCTTACTATATCCTTTTGTGGAAAGCAATGTGCTTATTCTCAATGTTGTCTCTGGAAGGTACAACACTTACTACACTGGTATAGTATCTACTTTATGGATCAATTTCCAGTGGACTTTTCAGTGGATACAAGCAAAGAGCGAAGTATGACCGTTGCACGAAATACAGTGTAGAGCACAGTTAATACAATATCCTACTTTTACAGCAAGTATTGCTTTTCTGTTTTTTGGAAAATGTCTTTGACAGCTTCTTACTTTGGTCATTAGAGTAAGAGTTCTGATATGAATCTGTGTACTGATATGATTTCTTTAGCTGTGACAGAGTGAAAACCATGCATTTGTTCTACTTCATACTGTGTGCCTTCTGAATATATTAATGACAGAAAAGAAAATTGCCTCTCCTGCCTTCCCTTCTCAAATGCAACTCTTTGGTACCTCAGGTACTTTTTAGAAACTTACTACTACCATTTAAGATCTGCTTTAAAAAAAAATAAAAAAATTAAGTGCTGTCCTGTCATCAACTCATCAGTAAGTTCTATAACACTGTTACCCTGTTTTATTAAATAGAATCTCTGCTTACACTTTTATCCTACTCATATGCCTGACAAAAGTAAAATCTTATGTTGCAAACTACATCATCAAACTGCATTTAATTTGATTTAGTTCCAGTTAAACACTGGAAATTTAAGTTCCAAATTGTAATTAATCAGTGTGCTATTTATGCATGTGATTTATTTTATTTTACTTTATTTTTTATTTCAATTACCAGTTTTTGTATAGAAATTTTTTGCTTTCTTTAACTTGAATCTTCTACATGGCTGTAGAAAACCTAAGGATCAGTTGTAAGTATTACCATTGTATTCATGGATACTGTCTTTTCAGAATGCCACTTTTTTTTTCCTCAATAAGCTCAAAGTAGTATAAACTTTGATAGCTTATTAGCATGGACCACTTATAACCTGCTAATGTGAAATTGTCTACCTTTTACTAGGCTGCTTTTTCATTTTTTGGTGTTAAGAGATCACAGTGATCAGGAAAGTTTGCACAAGATGAACTTGCAGTATAGAGTGAGATGCAAGCAAGTTGTATGAATGCAAGCAAGTACCAGTTTATTTTCCTGATTCACAACGATCCATATACAAATGCCGCAATCATATTTCAGTCAACTGTGAATAACCTTCCTGTTATAATTGCTAAGATTTTTCTTTTCCAAGTTTTTTTTAAAGATTTACAATGAGATATGTAAATAAATCTGGTGTTGCTTGTTTGTTAGTGAAAACTATGCAGTGTTCAGTATTTTACAGGACTTGGCTCCCTCAGTTTCTTAAATGTGAATTTAGAAGCCTAATTAGGCAGTCCTGGTTTTTTGCTTTTCGCTCTTTCCAAATTAGTGGAGTGTGAACAGAATTCAACAAGATATGTATCTGAAGCAAAGCTGTGGTTCTATTTCTTAAAGTGCAAATAGAAGTTGGTGTTTTAATCCTTTTTAATCCTAACATGGACATTTAACATGAGTAGAAGGTGCATAGAAGGTGATTTGTTTTTAAAGCTGAAATTTTTAAACCTGTCTGTTCTATTAGGACTTCACCAGGAGCGCTGTCTTACACTACAGCATGTTAGATATTCTAGATTTTATTTACATTTCAGCATTTGGGTGTCCTAAATCCAAAAACTTTAAAGAAAAATGCTTTTAAGTAGAAAATTTTAATTAAAAAAATAGTTACTAGATTTTTTCAAAGCAGATGCTGAATTTTATTTATTATGGCATAAGAACCACTTTTTAAAAGAAATGACTTACATTTACCAACTAAGATGATTGCTGTAAATTTGCTTTTTTGGTAAGAAAACTGCTTAAACAGATATATATATGTATATATATAAAATTGCATTTAGAAGCGTGAGATTATAGGAAAATGACAGGAGAGAGTGTGTGCTGGAATACATCCATTGGTTTTTTTTTCCCCAGTTATTGAGGATCTGATGCAGAAGAACAAATTAAATATTTTGATGAGGATATTTCTAACTCTGTTCTCAGTTGTGTAGCCTGACAGCTTACTATCTGCGTGATGTAGAGAAAGGGGAGTGCTCAATCTAATACCCCAGCTAGTCATTGTCACTCTTTGATACATGGTTACAAAGCAGCAGTAGTGGTTTTAGTTAATATGCTAGTAACAGTGTTTAATAAATACAGCAGCTGGAGAGGGCTGAGGAATCTCATAAACAAAGCTGTAGGAAAGAATTACGTTAGCGTATAAACACTAGTCTGCAGCAGCTACGCTCACTTCTCCTGTGATTTGCACAGTAAGCTTTTTTCCTTCAGGGTGTCTCAGATGTGATTGTGTGCTGGCAGAAGCAGCCAGTAGCATTTTGTAACCTGACTGTATGAGACTGAGAATACACAATCCCTCCTCCCCAGGTTAGAGGTGTATTAATTGCTCTGTAAAATATGGGGGTTTTTTTCACTTTTTGAGAGTCCCTCTGATGGTTCAACGGAATAGCTTTCTACTTTTTTTTTTCTTCTGTATTTTAATGCTTTGCAGTACACTACATGAATTTCTCAGTATCGTGACAAACTTCCCACTTTACAATTTCAGTCTTACAGTGACACTGATGAGTGCTTCCAAAGCTGACATACTGATTGCTCTTCAAATGTTGTGTGCAATTTTTCAATGATGTAAACCAGGTAAATAAGAAAAAAAAAAAAAAAAAAAAGAAAAAATAATTGTTTCTGCAAATGAGATAGTCTATGTCTAAGACTGTATCACTTTGATTCTGTTTCTGAAAGATCCGTTATAACTTTACAGGACAGGAGATTACTATGAATGAGATTCTAATGTTGGTAGTATCTATTTCTAGCAGACCAGGCTGTCAGTGATATTACACTAGAAGCTTAGCAGGTGTCTATTCCTAGTACTCATTTAGATGAAAAAGTGCAAGTGCCAAAGAATCTGGGCTTGCTTTTTCTCCTGTTGAATCAACAGGAGTTCAGCTCCAAAATTCTCTGGGAGTGTGCTTTGTGTGAAAGTATGTATAGAATATAGAATTGTCAAAATCTAATCTTAGAAAATAAATCCTGTATTTTCCTTTTCTGGGGAGAAAAGACGGTCATGTTTAAAAAATGTCTCGGACCTGTTTGTGATGGGAGGAGCTCTTGTTCTAGAATCGGCAGCTCTTTTGCACTGGCTAGAGAGAGAAGGCTATGGACCACTAGGGATGACTGGAATATCCATGGGAGGACATGTAAGATTTTATATTTCCTGTTCAGTAATTTTTTGTTTTAACTTCTAATTTGATCACTTAGCATATGAAAATAATTTGTTTTATAGTGTTCCTCTTGGAATTACTTTAAAATAAACATTTAGAGTCATTAGAAAACAATTGTTGGCAATTCTCATGTTCTCTGGTGCTGAATTAACATAATACTCAATAAGTACTGACAAGTCGTGGAGCCATTTGTCAGCCATCTCCCGACAGGCTTACTATGAATATAAGCTTCTCACATAATTTATGTTTTTTCCTCAAGGGTTGTGTGTAAATGTTTTCTGAAAGAAGGTCTGTACTCATCAATTGCTAGTTTTCCATTTTTACTCCATTCTTCTTGTTTAAACTTTTGTGTTTGAAGGCATTGTGTGAAATGATCCTCTTTGTAGGCATGTTGTAACTGAAATGACTTCTGGTGTCAGTTCTGTTCTCAAGTCATCTTTTTCTCCCCAATCATTGGTATTGATTAGAGAAGATTTCTGTGGTGAAGTGGATAACGTTTTGTGTATAACACCGTGTATATTCAAACTAAACCAGCAGTGTGTTAGTAAGATGCTTGAAAGACTAATACACAGTTAAAATATTACTGCTGGTGTCTACAGATAATCATTGGTCTGTGAGACACAGGTACAAAACTTACTAAAACAACATACATCTGTTTTGCTGATCCTTGTTTGTTGTTAGGAGCTAAGTAAATAACGTTGGTAATGGTAATGTCTACTGAAAAGAAAATAATTTCCCCCCAAAACCAAATTTTATAAGTCTAAATGTCATAAATGTACAAAACACCTTTGATTTACATAAACATCAGCCTGTTGAAATAATAACTTTTGTGTTAAACTCTTCCCTGTCTTATTTGTAAGTTGGATTGGAATTCTCAAACTGGTATATCCACCCCTAACCATGCAGGACACTTCAAATGCTGTGCAAATGCTATGGGAATAACCGAGTACTGTATCCTATACCAATGGTCATATGCAGCGTGGGTATAGAAGGAGGCAAGATCTGAGAGAGTGAGTTTGGAAACTCTGTTGAAATTTTTTTCGTAGTTCGGGAATATACATTTTTTGGTTAGTCCTTACTTATAGGACTTCTGGTACAATTAAGAACCAGAGAAATGAACCATGTTCTATGTTGATCATCTTTAGAATGTGTTTTACAACAGAAGGCAGGTAGTGTTAATTCAGTTCTACTGATGGGGAGAGCTGGAACAAAAAGGAAGACTTTCTGGCTATCAAAACGTAAATATGTGGTGTCCTTGCAACTTTTTATTAATAAAAAAGAATTAGAATAGAGTTATAGTTCAGTTGTATAAATCCATTTATTAGACCATCTGGCACAGACACGGGGTATTTTATATTAGGGGTTTTACATTGTTGTTTAGTTTAGAACAATGAAATAAAACTTGGCAAGAACATACCGTATAGGGAACTTCTGTATGTTGAGTTTCTTTGTTTTTTTTTTCTGGGATAAACAGAATATTCACACAAATGTGTTCAAGAACTGATGTAAAAATAATAATTTAAACTTTAAAGGACAGAAAAAGAGTCCACTTAAGATGCTGAATTACTTCTCCACCACCTTTGTTTACAGTATGCAGATCTTAAAAGTACAGAATTTTAAATAGTCCTTCTATATATTGCCTTAATTTTGCCTTCAAATAAACTTGCAAGAGCTTGATGAAAAGGCTTTATGGATGTTTTTCACGGTTTTAAACAACTTAAGAGGTCAGAATAAATATTCCATTGGGAATTCTTATAACAAGAACCTGTTCAGCCTTGAAATTAGTCCTATCCAGAGCGATGTTTATTGTTAGGGAAGTAGTTGAAGAATAGGCTGTATCTTCTACATAGATGAAAGTATATCCAGCTACTACAGTCCTTAACTGCTTTTGCACTGTATATTTGTTTGATACTGTATAAGTAAGTAAATTGAAGATAGGAGAGTTCTTTTTACCATGTTGTGAATTCAATATTAAAATATTTAAGAGGTGCCTTTGATTCTAGATGGCTTCACTGGCAGTGACAAACTGGCCTAAACCATTGCCATTGATTCCGTGTCTTTCCTGGTCAACAGCTTCTGCAGTCTTTACTACGGTAATTAAACATATATTTTTGTTAATATACTGGAGTGTAATCAGATATCTAAGTTAAAAGATCTAGGTTGGCCACATTCACCTTTTCAGTTAGGGCAATTCATCACCCTTTGGCATCTACTAGTGACTAGTGGCAAACCCCACCTTGTATACCTTCAGGGTATACAACACATGATAAAGAAGGTAACTTTGTGCTACTTTAGTGGTCCGTGTACCAAATCAGAGGCTGGAGCTGGTCTGTGGGACAGTGATTAGAGTCCTGATCTGAATTTAGGAAGGTGAGGAAGCAAGCTGTGAAAATATGTTTTCTTCAGCTCAAAGCCTGGCTTAAATAGTTAGGTGATAATGCTCCTGCTACCATCAAGGGCACCTGTTTTTATGACTGCTGCCAGGGTAGGTGAATGAATAGACTGGCTTTGACACCCATCATTGGTTTAGCCCAGTCTAGATGTGTGTAAACCCCAGGTGGGACTGCTTTCTCCTCTCTGCCTTTCTCTCTCTGCCTTTCTCATTTGTTGTTTAAAAGGAGGTGGGTTTCCATGTCTTACGTTACAGTATGTGCTTACGCTTTGATTCTAATAATTCTAAGGGTTATCTGGAAACTTGGGCAGAAGTCCACTGGAAAAATCAAATCACAGAGAGGAACAGATCAATTTTCTCTGTGTATCATAATTTTAGAGTGATCTGTGTGTTTTACTTGTGTACCGATGCTTGTGTTTATAATCTCAGGGTGTGCTGAGCAAGGCAGTGAATTGGAGAGAGCTAGAGAAACAGTATTTCACGCAAACTGTTTATGAAGAAGAAATCATTAAAATGCTTGAATACTGTGGTGTAAGTATAGTTTATTTTCCCTATTTGCTAATATTTAGATGTGCAAATCTAACAAATAATGTAATTTCTTTTTACTTCTAGTAAGAATAGCCAATTGTTAACTAAAACGTGTTTGCCTGTTGTTTCCTTATGCTTTTGGTAAATTTAATCTTTGAAGGAAAACCTGCTGAAAAACAGAAGCTAATGTTTTGGTTGTACAATGTGTTTTAAGTATAGCCCTTGCTACAAGTTTTTTCTGTGACCGCACTTAGTGTAATCTGCAACATAAAATAAATTTAGTCAAAATATTGAAAGTGTAGATAATATTTCCCAGTAACTGGCTTTATAGTCTGGAAAACCATGTAAATGGCATGTAAATATAAAAACATGATTTATTGCCCTTTGAAGCAATTGCTTCCAAATATTCGGTGCTGTAGAATATTTCTAATATGTAGCAACATTAAGTTCCTTTTCTAGTTACAGTGCTAGGTCTCTCCATTTCTGTTTCTGTGTGTGGTGCTAGCCTTCCCTCAGCTTTGGACTTTTATTGCAGGGGCAGTTGGGATAAACATGAGGTAGAGCTTTTGTAATTAGCTCCTTGTTTTCTTGACTCTTTCTGACTAGGGTTGAAAGACTCTTCCCAAGGGGAATTTTGTTGCCTCACTGCTCTTTCAGATTGGAGTTACAACTTTTTGAGAATTGCCTATATGTTGCAACACTGTCTTCTAGCCATTTTTGATAGATAACTTTTTTCCTAAGATTTTTTGCTTTGTGACTGTCCTTTTTCAAATATCTTATGACAGGAGAAGAGGGGCTGGGTTGCAGACAGTTACTTAGGCGCTTGCCATTTTAAGTAAAATATACTCCAGTAACACTGATGGAGCAGACAAAATGAAAAGAAGAAACATTTCAAGATGGTCAGCTTGTGTCTTCCGAGTATTTAGAGACAGTAGATTTTTCAGTCTGAAACCTAACATTAGACCTGGTCACGTTTATTGCCCAGAAATTTAAACTTAAATGTCTGCAATTATAAATTCAGGGTTTAATATAGAGTTAAAACCAAACATTTGTATCATAGGCTGCTATGTAAGTATTTCCTGCATTTTTTTAGCTGACAGAAATGTAGAATGAAGTTATCAAGAGGTTGTGATTGATGATCAGGATTTAATTGAGTGTGACGTGCAGGCTGAAAGTAACAAGTACTGTGAGCAGTGCTGTTTGTATCTTTTTTTCTTCTTTTATTTTAATGTTGTGTTGATCATAAAAATAAGATTAACCAACTGATTTAAAGGAGAAGCGCTTAATAAATGACCAGTTGTCTTTGTTTAGACGGATTCTTTCAAGATGGGACAAGAATTTGTTAAAAACTTCCCTGACAGTGTGGACAGTCTGGAGGATGTGGATGTGACTTCCAGAATGTTTGACCTTGATTCCTTGAATAAGACTGTATCTGAAGAAGCTGTTCACAGCTTTACCACAAATAAAAGTACTCTAAGTGCCTCATCAGAAAGACTCCTAATGCAAGATGCTCCTAAAATGCAGTGCATAAATCAAACGTTTTCAACCAGTAGCAACTGCAATAAAAACTTAACCAGCCCACAAGGATACAGGATAAATAAAAGAAGAAAGAGTGATACTTTACAGAGAGAATCCTTAAGGTTCATGAAAGGAGTAATGGATGAATGTACCCACGTAGCTAACTTCTCAGGTATGTATTTAGTTGTTTTAATGTGCCATTTGGAAAACTGAGTAAAATACAGTGGAAAGAAAGGTGTTTTCTTTGTTCTCCAATGTGTGAACCCGCTGGCACCTTAGCTGAAATATGAAAGTATCTTGAATGTTATTCAGTAGCATCTGCTTACCACTCCATTTCCGAATTGTTTTTCTCTTTCTTCTTAATGGCCAGGTAATGATAAAGTGAATTAAAAATTTGCCTTTCAGTATCTTTGCTCATTTTTTTTCTGTGCCTTCTTGTGGCTATTTTCAGATATGAGTTAGTGCAGATTTGTATTATTTAAAAGAACAAAACATCTATGTGATGTGAATAATATTTAGATCTAATCTGCTAATAAGGTTTTTCAAGCAGATTCAAGTAAATCTCATGAAGTAGAAATCTGATACCAGCTTCAGACAGAAAGTAGCCTACATAGCTGAGAACCAAGCTTGAATGATACTTTTAAGCAAGTGTGACCGGTAAAAATGCATAGAAGTCCTTCTGGGACAATGCAGTCTGGTGAATATAGTGTTTCCCAAGACAGGGGCAGCATGTAGAGGGAGCTGTAGCCCAGTGAGCCATAAACCTGATTAACCTGGGTTTCTTGGCATCTAGGACAAATCCCTTTCAGCAGCCCACTTGCAGGCTGTGCAAGCAAGCTATTTCTTCCTAAAGCTGATTGAAAGGGTTTTGCTGGAGTGGAGGCTTGGAATTACTTTTGTGGCAGTTCATTCACAAAAAATGGTTCGATTGTGCATGTACCCACTGAGGACTCTCAGCATGTCCTAGAACGTACTTGGACTTCAGACGGGTTTCTGACAGAGTTGTCTTTCAATGTCAAAACATTCTTGACACTGAGACCCTGTGCCACCTCATCGTTTAATTCTGGCATTCAGTACTGCACTGGTAAATGTTAAAAAAAAACCCATAAAATAATCAAAAGATTTCTACACTAACATAGATTTCTTGACTTGGATGATGTCCCAGATAGCTACTAGCCGGGGATGTTTTGTGACAGTACCAGTGAAGTGCTTTCCTTAAAGCTTTAAAAGTTATTTCAGTAGACAGAAAAACACCTGTAAAGTTTATTCTAAGTACAGACATTCTTGTTTATCTAGACACTTATGCAGGTATCACTTGGCTAAGGCATTGACCTTTCTTGAAACTTAAGAGGATCTGTGATCGTAATGCACTTGTCAAAGTGATGTAGTCCTTCGTGTCAGTCGTCTCCAAGGTCTCTTCATGCTCTGGGAGACATTGTGTCCCCTGCCCAGGGTATCCTTGGAGTGTGTCTAGAGAGGAGCTTCAGAAAATCTGCCTAACATTCAGATTTCATAGAAAAGTGAGTGGAAGATTAGAATCTGTCTTAGCATTCCATATCCTCTATGCATGATCTGGTGTATATGAAAGGAGAGGGTCTAAATTATTTGTGACACTCCATTGTCAAACATCTTGGCTGGTCACTGTTTACCATACCACGTATATTCTTTGTGAAGAGAGAACTGTTCTGCATTCAACATCATTTTGGTGTTATTTTTCTCAACATCATTTTGGTGTTACTCCTGTTAGTAATCTGATCGGTGCAGTTCTGGTTATGAGTAAAAAATGTATGTAACAATATGTTGGGATTTTTATGTTGTAACTAAAACATGTAGGAAACAGAAAAGAAAGTGAACATATACTGCACTATCTGACGTCTCATATGAAAAGTTGTCTTTTTTCCTCTCCTTGAGGAAAAAAATTATACAAAGCTTCCACTCCATTGAATTTCCGATGTCCCCTAGTTCTTTTTGCTGAAAAAAATCTCAGAGAACTAACCTGAATGCTACAGAGTTTTGTTGTTAAGAGGAAAGACAATTCTCCTGTCATTCCTCAAAGAGTTGTGAAGTTCTCTGCTTTAAGGGAGGGAAGAGAGTTGATTAATTTGTTTTTCTACTGATGGCTTCACTACTGTAATGTCAAAAACCAGATAACATTCTGCTGGAGACTTTTGAAAAAATAATTTGTTAAATCATAGACAAATTTTTTTCGTAATAGCGAGCATTTTTACAACAGAAATCTCAGCTGACGTGTTTCTATTTCTTCCCTTAGATGAATTCAATTTTGATTTTTTCCTTTAGTTCCAGTTGACCCAAGTTTAATCATAGTTGTACAAGCTAAGGAGGATGCATATATTCCTCGAACTGGGGTGCGCAGTCTTCAAGAAATCTGGCCTGGATGTGAAATTAGGTATCTGGATGGAGGTCATGTCAGTGCCTACCTCTTCAAACAGGGACTCTTCAGGTAAGGTAAACAGGGAAGTTTGAAAATAGTTGAGAGCTTAAAACCGTAATTTTGAGACACATAATTTTTCTTCTAAAAGCAAGTCTATAATTACTCTAAAGCAATAAATACCAACTAGTGCTTTGACGAACAAGTTACTGGATCTGAAATAATTTAAAGAGAATGTCAACATCTCCATTTTGTGAACAAAGATGAGGCGCAATATAGCTCAGACCATTCAGTAAGCCAAAGGTAAAAGAATGATCCTTCTCACTCCTGTTTTCCTATAAAATCTTTTAGTTAGTCCAGTTTTCACTGGACGCTAAGAAAATATTTTTAAAGCAGTGACAGCTTATGTTGTATTGCAAAGTCACACAATTGAAGATGGGAATTAAAATACAAGCTTGACTGTAAATGAGTAGTACTTGCCTGAATTTCTGCTTTAGTAATACTAGGCGTTGACTTTCTGAAGACAGTTACATAAATCAGTTACATAAATGCAGTTCCTTAGTTTTAAAAAGCTAGATACTTGTGCTGTTAATTTTAAAATATAAGGAATTAGTAAGATTATACATCCCATTTAGGAGGTCTAAGAAAGAACGGAAAGGAATAGCAATATTCCAGGTCAGGGTGTGCTAACCACTAGCTTATTGCTATCTAAAGCTTCAGCCTTATTTTATGGCAGTTGCTCAAAAACTATAAATTATGCATGTGTTTCTGATGCATTTCCTGGCATGTTTGAGTAGAAAACTCCTAATCCGATCACATTTGCACTCATATTAAAGTTGGTAAACAGTCCCACTCATTCCTGAAACATAACTATATTACTGGTTTGAAGTGAGAGATCCCAGAAATAAGTGAAGGAGAGAAGACTACCTAATATCACGTTTTTATTGAAAGCTGTTTTAAAATTGTGATGATATCTTTGTAAATATATTTGTAAATATATGGAAATATGCCACTTGTCTGCCCTTTCCCAAATTATACAAACTATTTTCTTTTTTCCTTGTTTTAGACAAGCGATTTATGATGCATTTGACCGCTTTCTTCAGAAATATGCAGTGTAAAAATCTTCGTGATGTATTCAAACTGATCTCATTTGTACTTCCGCTTACTGGAACTGATGTTTGGAAAACAACCCTCTTGCAACATTGGGTAGATGGTCACTGACTTTGACTGTTGTAGGTAACAATTATCGAAAATGGTGAAGTACCAGCATTACTTTCATTTCAACCAAATGCCTTTCTGACACACTTGCTTCCGCTTTACTTGTGAGAAAACAATGGCAGCATTTGTTAGCGCATGAATGGTTCATGTACTTCATGTTTAATCACATTGTGTATTCCTTTAATTCTGAATAAATTCTGGGTTGTGTATCAGTTGAAAACAGACCAATCTAAGTATTGAAAGACTGTAAAATGTGCTATAGGGCTAAGATGCTCTCTTGTGTTTAGTGTATTTAGTTTGTCGAGGTACCTTGGTTTCCTCTTGCTTCCTTCTCCCCTTGCTATTCCTTTTGTGTTGTACTATGGCTTTGCCAGCACTCGGCCTGTTGTGTTTGTCACTGATTTCCTCTATTATGAATTGAAAATGAGCTCTAATAGAAGGGGCAGCATCAAATCTTGCAAAAGCGACCTTCAAAATTCAATGAAGAGTTAGAGAGAGATGTCTTCATTCAATGCGTCCATGAGATTCTTCTGCCACTGAATTAAACCGTGCCATTCCGCAAGAGTCATGTAGCAGTTCATTGATCAGTTTCATAAAACCGGTGCTATAAAGACCTGTTGGAAATACTTCACCAGGGGTCCTTTTTAAAGTGCACTCAGCGCTGATATGCAAAATACAGATCACTGTATGGTATTAAAAAGGTATGTGGAACTAAGTGTTATCAAAACAGGTTAGCTCCCTATTTTTCAACACTGTTTTTTTTAATTGGATGGAAAATAAGAAGTTAGGATTATGAATGCATTTAAGAAAATCCAAATCAAAAATGTCAACAAATTACAGTAGAATAAAAGGTTGTCATGCATCAGCTCTATGTGGTATCTGTCCACATCTTATTTTGTGGTAATCTTCTGTAACGTTCTTTTAATGCTAGTTTGCAGAGGAGTTGAAAACTGAAACACTTCAATATTGATTTTAGTATAGTGATGACCAGAGTTACACAGAAACAAACAGAAAACACAAACAGTGCTGATCACCATTTCTCGGGATATGTGACTGCTGCACCTTTCAGATCAAGAACTTCATTGATCTCCGTGGTTAGCGTAATGGTTTTTAATAGGCAGAGTACAAAGCAAACAAAGCTCAGTTTATATAAATATATTCTCTTGAATTTTAGTGTGGCAGATAGGACTAGTAACTGGGAAGAAATCAAGGTTCACTTGGAAGTCAGCACAGTTCAGGTAAAACTGAAGTGCAACAATTTGTGATAACCCAGATTATTTAACATACAAATTTACTGAAAATGCAAAAAGAAGTTATATTCTGTTGAAAGTTAAATTGCTTGTTTCAAGTGGGTTTTCATAATTTCTTTAGATAGTGTTGGGTTTATATATATTGGGAGCAAGTGTGAAGTGACTAACACATTTAAATACAGTAAACCACTGAATGTTAGAATGTCTGGAATCAAATATAAGTAAGCTTACAAATTTGAAATTGAAGGCTTGAATACTATACTAAAAGGTTTATGGGGTTTATGTTCTACAAGCTCATTCATCAGCTAAGAGTGTTTTACAAGACCATTGTCTGCGGTTCATGAACTTTTTTAGATCTCACATTTTAAAGGTATTTGTGTGCTTTGTGTCCTGTTTCTGTTCAGCTATGAGAAAGGGAGATAACTGGTGGCAAGGGAAAGGGCTTGAAGAAGAGGAAGAGAGAAAAGACGGGTTTTGTAAGGCGGGGAGTAAGCACAAAAAAAAAAATCAACTAAGCTACAAAGTAGAATATGCCAAAATAAATATTTTCAAAGCGCACAATACTAGGAATTACACAACTGATGGGAACTTGACATCCTGAGGTTAGTGTTCTGATGATGTTACTAACAAGGTTTAACTTGTCAGAAGGGCACGCTATTCACAGAAGCAGATTTATGCTAACGTAACTCCCGTTTGTGAGAGTGTCTTTTGGGATAAGTAGTGAAAGACTGGTCTCTGACAAGAATGAGAAAGCATGCTTTGCTGTGTAACTAAAGTAATGTTGCCAAATATAAAAGCCCAGTAAGAAGCATTTAAGAAATTTCTCAGGTTAGAATAACAAAAAGGAAAAATGAGTGCTCTGATCTGTTTCTGCCAGTTACCAGACACGGGAAGCTATCAGCTGGTCTGTGAAGAGGGGAACCTTGCTGTTTAGATGTTTTTAACCTTTGGAAAACTGACTTTTTAAACGAGATTTTAAGGTTAAATCCTAAGACAGTGTTATTAATAATCCATTTTGATGTTAAATGAGAATGTGATTTTAATCCAGCAATTGTGTGAGAAAAATATTGGAATAAGATTCCTGCCCTAAATCCAAATAGCAGGTAAGCCATTCTGTATGTCTTTAATTTATTGTAAAACTGGCCTTGATCATTTTTTGGGTTTAATGTTTTTCAATAAAAATCCTAAAAAACAGCTAGGTGGGAGGTTTTCTTTTCTTTCTTGTTAACAGGAATTAAAAATGTATCTCACTGTCACTCTGTAATCCTTTTTATTCCTACTAGTATCACAGCTTGAGTAGTTCATCTAGAGTACAAGATAAAAGCTTCACGTAAAAAACAGTGATACCGCTTTCATGGTGTTCTACATGCAGTACCTAGTAAACAAAATAAGCTTGTATCATCTAATTAAGGTACCGTTGTGATTCCAATTTTATACGTTTCTTTTCAGTGGCTTCATTCTGCTAAGATTTCCTGGACTTATTTAAAATCCCTTCTACTTTTAAAAGGGTCCAATATCTGTACAATTTCTCCCTGCTTGCTGCTGTGTTCCAGGCAAGGGTGTGTTGTACCATAATAAACTCAGAGCATATTGTAGGACTGTCCAGCAGTAGTTGAAAAAATCACCCTTGCTGTTGATGGTTGCTCTTGCAAGGTGGTAGGGGTTTTCGAGTGCTGGTGCTGGGAGAAGAGGAGGCTATTTCATCCTCTGCAGCGGTCTGCCATGTGAATGGGAATATCACCTGCTAGCTGGAAGGCAGCTTGATGGTGTTTATATGCAAAAAAAAAAAAAAAAGGCTATATTGTTGTGGCTTTCTCTGTGGAACTGGAGCAGTCATTCTGACAGAAGCCTGCCAGTTGGACCCAGCAACCAAGATGCAATCAATTTTATTTTGGTGCTCAGTTACGCTGTCTGAAAACTGAGGGCTGCGGTGACACCTCTGCTTCCTGATACTGAGGCTGACAAAACATGAGGAGGACAGATGGAGCGGGTGATGCGTTTTGTCTGCACCTGAAAGGAAAGGCTCCGGACAGAGCGAGAGGTTGGGTATGGCGTGTTACCCGGGAGTAACCTGGGTAGGATTTTTTAGCATTTTGTTTACGTGTTTCTCACCTGGCACCGAAGTGCTGATCACCTTCTGGAACAGAACGCATCTAATTGTTGTTGGGTGGAGCTTTTTGTAATTTTTTTTTTTCCCCAGGTCCGAAAAACACCCACCTCAAAAGTGACTGCTCAGCAATTTTTTTTAGCAAGGATAGATCACGTGTGTTGTATTACTCTTGAAAGTCTGCAAAAAGGTACGGTTGTATGAAGGAATGGAACCTTGCTGCTTTTTCATACTGGAATGTCATATGCATGCCTATAGATACATAATTTAAATAAATAGTAGATTAGAAAGTGAAAATCCTTGGATCCTTGGAATGCTGTTTTTGGTTGGTAGCTGCTAACATTTTGAGGCAGGTTTTTATTTATCTTAATTTTTTCTGTCATGTAATTTTTTTTTAAGATGTTGATCTTAATTACGGTTGGTTGGGCAGGGAAGTTTGTTTATCTTAAACCGTCAGGTCCTCTGTCAGCTTGGCTGTAACGATAAGTTACACAGTATCGAAAGGAGGTTCCTATAGTCTGTAGGCACGTTATTCCTGCT